CATTAAGCAAAAACATTAATTTTAATGGCGACACTTACCAGTGCTCCATATAGTAAGCACCTTTTGAAGTGAAATAAATACTAACACAAAACACACGTGTATGGTGGTAATAAGTAATTATATACAAAAAAACCAGTGAACAAATTTAAGACAAATAAATTAATATTCGTAGAAGTGAATAATTCTATGTCTATTGTCGTATTGTACAACATGTTCTTGTCGTATTGCAAAATTTAACAATATGGCAATAGCTTGTACTTTGATAAAATTTGAAAATGATTATTAAATAAAAAGTAAAGAAGAAGAGCCTGTAATTGCAAAACTAACATGAAATTTAAAATAATTTTAAGATAATAGAAAAGATAATATTTTAAGATAATAATAGAAAAGATTTAATTATACGAGTTTTGTTGAGCACGTTATTAACGCATGTGTGACACACGTACAGTAAAAATATACCCGTACTCGCAAAAGTTATTTGTATAAGCAAAGCTATATTCGAAATACACAAAAACTAAATTTATTTCAAATCCTTTCGAGGGATGGAAGTTGATTTATAATTTAAGAATTGAAGAAAGAGCGAGATGCAGTACCTATCACTCATTCTTGTGGCTTAAAATTATTACTATGGTTCCATAACACTGAACTCAATTGAGTGTTCCTTGAAAACCATACATTTTTACCGGGCGTACCTACATAGGATGGGGATGTTGAGAAGCCCTGAATGCAGGGACTGCGGCGTGGCGGACTATCTTTCACACTTTTTTCGAATGCAGCATTGTAAAAATTGAACGTCGAGGCTTAGAAACGGCCATCGGAATAATAACTCCAGAGAACATCGTGGGACGAATGCTAGAGAGCGTGGATAATTGGATCGTAGTAGCGAAATACATAAAAATGTTGTTACGCAAGAAAAAGATGCTGAAATATCTGGAGGAAGCCGACGAGATAGAAACGGCATAATTTAGAATGCGTAAAAATAAAAAAAAAGAAGGATTAAAAAGGAAGATGGGTGTCATCATGAAAGAGAGCAGCACGGTCCAATCTGAAGTAATGCGAAGAGCGGTCCAGGATTGGATCCACCGTGGAATGGTGGTTGTTCTTGTCGGTAGGAGTCCAACAGTATTGAGATGTGCGGAACCATCTCATTCCCCATTAAGGGTTTCACCTACTTCTCCACGTGGAATAAAAAAAAAATTAAGACGATGAATTAAATAATGGTTCACATTTGCAGCTCCTAATTTTCAACAATAAAATTATCAACTAAGATTACCAATTCATCATAATAAAATTTTCGCGAAATTATGGTGAATTTAATGATTATATATAGAAAGAAAATTATTATTAAATCATGGAAAATGTGTTTTACAATTCTTTTTAAATTTAAAAGTCTTTTGGAAGAAAATTTTTCAAAAGAATAACAAAATTTAAATTAAAAAGAGGAAATTTATCGTTTTTTTTTATTCATGTTTTTTCCGTTTTAATATTAAATTTATTATAAAAGTTTTTTTTTCGTCAAAATGAGGTTTATTTTCCCATCTGATTTGTTATACGATAATGTCAAATAAGATTTGATTAAAGAGAATGGGATTGAGCATCAAGGATTACCATTGTGAATGTTCATACATTTTTTTTTATGTTTTATTTAATTTATGTAAATATTTTGTGTCTTTATGGTATTCTGAAGCTTTACACGCATGTTCATGTTTGTTTTAAGTAATGTAATGTGTTATGTATGCAATAAAATTTTGTAAATTGTTGCATGTAATACGAATTCACTATAATTGAAAGAGAGAGAAAAATTCAAATAAACATTTTATAATGGAGAATCAGAAAAAATGTAATTTAACTTATATAATTATTATGAAAGCACATATAAGCTCATATAGACCTAGATATATAACATACAAAATTCCATTGAATTATGGAACATTAAAATTTTTAACCACAATTGCTCAAAATGAAATTCTTGTATAAAAAATTATACATTACAAAATTGTTAAAATTGAATGAGCAGATCATGAGCTCGAGCGAAAATTGTGTAAACATAAAACAGGTGCAACATTTTAAAAAGCCATTGCCAAGTAAGTAATGAAAAAATTTTATAATTTTGAGGTATAACACTTGTGTTTAATTCATAAAATACCACTGTTCAAAAATTTAAATTTTTGCACCTTCTTAGGTTTGCAGTTATAAGATGCACCTTCAAAACAGAACTTAAAAATGATGTGTCTTAGTTTTCAAATATGAGTTTGCCGTCTGTCAAAATCTACGACTTGATATTCTCTTTAAGTTGTTATTGTTGTTGTTTGACCAACATCTTCATGGTGGTTCTCTGCATCTCAATCAGGTTTCTTTGAGCGGTATTAGACAAAATATTGCACTTGCTAAGGTATGAAACGTAATTTTCCATACTGGTTAATTGTAGTTCAAAATGTTTCTTTTATGAATCTGTTCATATACTCATTTAATCATCTTCATTAGAATTCTCCTATAAAACGTTATTATTTTCTATTTCATTCTCATATATTGTCCATTTAAAGTACAATTAGCATTCAAAACAAATAATAGCATTAAGTACTAAAATTACAATTATGAGTTTAAAATATAATTACTCTTTTAATAATAATTACCGCTCTCTGACCAAAATTATTTAATACACAATTTAATTAAATAAAATACTCGCCGTATTTACCGTTATGACAAAAATGTGTAAAATTACAGAAATTTTATTAAGTACATTAAAGAATTTCACTTAACCACACTTTATTTTTCATTTTTATGACATTTCTACTCTCTAAAGTCTCTTAACTTTATAACTACATTCTACATTGTGAAATCTTAATTTTATTTTTTTATTTTTGTTCGAAAAAGAGACTCTAGAGAATAAATTTTTTTTAATGAGTAAAATTTAATTTTCTTACTTAATTAATTTCAACATAAAGACACAAAAGTAATTTTAGGTTTTTAAAAAAAAATAACAATTATTTAAAATTCAACAACACATTTTTGCTTCAAATTTGAGTTAATGAGATTAACAAAGAAGAGAAAAGGCATAAGGTTGACTTTAGAGTTATAAAAATTAAATTAGAGAAAATAACAAAGAGAATAAAATTTTAAGAAAAATTCCTTTAAATGTCTTACGAGTACTTTTTGATTGTCACTCAAGTTTTATGGATGAGTATTTTAAAATCCCGTTAAATATTTTGTTTGTGAGATTTTTATGTTAAATTAAACTTTATTTTTGCTTTAAATGAGAATATCAAAGTGTTTATGATTATGAGATAGAATGTGGTTTGGAAATAATGTATGTTAAACAAACAGTGTCTGGAAAAATCAAGCTTAATAAAATAAAATAAAGCTTAATTTCATAAACCAAAGGGTTCTTTTTTAAAGAAATAGAGTATCTCATTGGCAACTTTGTCATTATAAACGTGAAAACAGAACCGAATGAGAAAGCAGCAACAGCGTTAGATTTCCGTTCTAAACCCAGAAAAAAAACGAAAATCCAAAACAAATTGAACAGTATTTTTCATATAAGGTCTCACACACATGAAAACAAATAATATCAAAAAAAACCTCCAGCAGTAAAATAGAAATTTAGGTTATTTTACCGCCGGAAGTGAACTTCAAGTTACCGCCAAAGGTAATTTCTATTGGTTCTGACCAGTATCTCTTAAATATGTGTCTTCTATATGAATTCGGGCATTTCGTCGCGGAAAATCACTCTTATTCGGTTGTGCCGCGGAAGCACTCTTGCTAAGCTCAAAAAGCCTGTCTTTAAGAAATCATTATTCATCAATTACAAAATTACAATCAATTACGTAATTTTGAAATGAAATTAATGTACTACGCAACTAACCAAAATTTCACTTCAAAACCATAATAGATAGTAAGTATAGAGACTAAAAAAGAGTAATCCTTTCAAAAAGCATTATAGTAAGCAGCATAATCGCATATATGCCATCCAATCCTATTATAAACAACTTAATTTTTACTCTTTGCAAATAATTTTCTCAATATTCTTTTTTTTTTGGCAAATTCTAATCCAATTTATTACATTCGTTTATTTGTTTTTTTTCTTTCTTCCTCTTAAAATCCAATGTCGGTGCACGTAAAAAGGTTTTAGTAGATCCTTTTTCAAAATATCCTTCTCTTAGATTTTTATTCTTAAATTTGCATTATTATGATTTTTACACATTAAGCGGCATTGTTCATTCGAAAAATATATGATGAATTGAATTATCTCATAAATGTCATCATTCATCCACCAACCACTTTGTATTCTTTCCTCTTTGCCTTCCCTGTATTATATATATGTGTTAATATATATATATGTTATTAATACTATAGAGAGAGCCATTCCATTTACTCATTTTAAAACGACATCTATATTTTTATATCATAATTAAAAACTCTTTAACTAAAAGTGTATAAACTTATAGAGCACATTGAGTGGGCAAGATTATCATGATTTTATATTTTTAGTTGCATATAATTTAGAAAATTTTTCAACGACCATATGTTACAAATAATATAAAAAGTATACTTGAAAAAAATACAAAGAAAATAAAGTTAAATAACAAAAAATCGATAAATTTTCTGCAGTGAAAGTTTTTGTTTCTTGAAAGAGAAATAGAAAGTGTTTAAAACTTTTTTAATTTAACAAAATTTAATGGTTTAGAATAAAATAAATAAAATTTCAAAATTTTACTTGCTACATCGTGATTGAATTTAAACAACTGGTTACGTTCCAAATATCTAAAAATTCCAAAGCAGACATAATGCGAAATATAAAACGAAAAATTTCTTTATTTCACATAAAAAAAAATGCTTTTAAGGCGGCAAATAATTTTATGTGAATTACAAATTATTCACATTCTGTGCGCCCCATCCAAGTTTAGGTTAACTATAACTTCCTTTTATATATAAAACTGTCAAATATTCACACAAACATTTTTCTAATCACTCAAACTTTTTTTTTCCTCTTCTCTTTACAGAGTCATCATATTTCATCAATCTACACGAGTAGAATAATTCTTGCTCAAGAATTGAATATTATTCTGATAAAATATTTTCCTAAAACAAATATAAGGAAGAAAAACCCAAAACAAAAACACAGAAACAAAAGAAAAACAAAAAGTAGAAATGCTGGAGGACACGTTAATTACTACAATCAATCAACAGTTGAACATTTCAACTGTAAATAATTCAAATAAAGATTTAGATGAAGTTCAATATACCAGTGATTATGAACCATATGAATCTCGTCCGGAAACTTATATAATTCCAGTACTTTTTTCAATAATTTTTATTGTTGGAGTACTTGGTAATGGTACACTTATTATAATCTTCTTAAGGCATCGTGCTATGCGAAATGTACCAAATACGTAAGTATATATGAGAAGGAATTTTCTTCTTTTATAAAAAAATTATTAAAAAAAATTTGAGGAAATATTGGAAAAATTTATCTTAATTTGCAAAAACGAAAAAAAAATTTAATCATAAATAAAATTTAATCTTATAGAAGAAAATTTTAATGTGAAAAATGAATTTAATTTTTCTTTTGACAGCATTGTTTTTTTTTTTTTTGGATTTTCATCAATTTAATCAAATTTATCTTTAAAAAACCTAATTGACAGTAAAAGGTTTATGAAATTAAATTTTGGAGAAAATTTCACTTTAAAAATACTTAAATGATTTCGAGTTAAAAAAATTACTTTTAGAAATCTTCCATCCTTTACTAGATAATTTTTAATAATGAAAACGAGAATAATTGAACAAAACTATTCAAGTAAAAAATGGTGGTAGGCAGAGGTTTTTGTATCAGTCGCGCGATATGTGTACAAATAATTGATTTTATGAGACAAACAGAGGTGCTTAAAAATAACCTATAACCAATGATTAATATTGAACGGAACGTGGAGAATAATTTGCCCATAATTTGTTCATGTCTCTGTAACATAGTTGATAAAGTCATCCGCCTTAAAAACGGAAGATTACTGCCTCGAGAAAAAAGAAGAAAAATCTTTTAATTATTCTATCTCAACTGCTTTATGAAAGTCTGCTTATGTGCTGATCGCGGTACACTGTTACCCCATCTGTACAATCTACAACTACAAATTATTATTAACTTGCATAGGTAGATACAATTTATATTGTTATTTATATTGTTATTAACTTGTATAGGTATATAGAACGGTGATGGAAGGCTCTGATGGCGGCTGTTACTAGTGACTACTATGGGAGCTGCCATGCTAAGCCGAGGCGGAGCAATAGGAAGTGCCCGTGGTGGAATGAGGAGCTTTGAAGGCTTAGACTAAAGACCAGAAAGCTGTTCAATAAGGCCAAGGCGTCGGGTTCGTGGGAAGAGTATAAAAACTCACTCACGAAATACAATAAAGAAATTAGGAAACCGAAGAGAGTTTCGTGGAGGGCGTTCTACAAAGGCATTGATGAACTCTCCAGCAGTGCACGCCTTCACAGAGTACTTTCCAAAAAGTATGCCAGCGGGTTGGGCCTAATGGAACGGCCTGATGGCTGCATGACTGAGAACGGAAAGCAGACGTTGGAGCTTACGGCGTCAACGCACTTTCCTAACTCGGAGATTCTTCTGAATCACTCAAATGCGGTCATTGAACCGAGGGTATCCTGGCCCAGGAGGGATGACTGGCAACGATCCCGTCTGGTCTTCACGATGGGCAGGGTAAGATGGGCTGTTTCTCTTTCAGGCCCTTCAAATCTCCAGGTGATGACGGGATATATCCTGCATTTTTGCAGAGGGGTTTCCAACATATCGCCAGAGCACTATTGGAAATTTTTCATGCCAGCTATGCGTGGGGTTACATCCCTCAGGTATGGAGGGTGGTTAAAGTGACGTATATTCCAAAGGCGGGTAAGCGACCAAGCCACCACCCAAGGTCTTTCCGTCCAAGCAACCTTACTTCTTTTCTATTGAAAGCAATGGAAAAAGTGATTGATAAATTTATACGGGACGATTCACTGGGAAGCAATCCCTTGCATGAATCTCAGTACGCCTATCAGTCGGGAAGGTCTACTGTACTCGCTCTGCAGAGTTTGGTGGGGGTCCTTGAAAATTCACTGGAAGTGCGGGAGGTGGCAGTTGGCTGCTTCCTTCATATATAGGGAGCTTTTGACAACACCCCACATCATGTCATCTGTGAGTCGTTGCACAAACAAGAGATTGATGCGTTAGGATTATTAAGTCCGCCATAGCTGACGATACACTCTTCATCTCCGCTGCAAAAGGGTGTCCGCAGGGGGGGTTCTTTCGCCCCTCCTGTGGTCCATTGTAGTGGATGATCTAATCGCTGCTCTCGGGGGTTCCAGGGCACGTGTCTGGGGATACGCCGACGATGTGGTCTTCGTCGTACAGGGAAAATTTGAGAGCACTATTTCTAATCTTCTACAGCAAAATTTACGTGTTGTGGAGAGGTGGTACGAAGGCGTTGGGTTAAATATAAATCCAAGCAAGAGCACTTTGGTCGTCTTCACCAGACGCAGAAGCTGGGATAGATTAACGAGCCCAATTCTGTTTGGTGAACGTATTAATTACTCTAGGGAGATGAAGTATCTGGGGTTAAACCTGGATGATCGTCTCTCCTGGAATACCCATATAGATAGATTTCTCGAGAGGGCTACGGCGGCATTGTGAACGTGTAGGAGCTTCATCGGGGGGACCTGGTGAGTCAGTCCCAGGATACCACTGTGGCTATATACGGCTCATCGTCACCTACGCGTCGATTGTATGGTGCCGTAAGGCTCAGCAGGCTAAGCTGGAAAAGCTACAGAGGCTGGCCTGCCGAGAGACCGGGGCATGCGGACGGGTCCAAAACGGAGTCGGGTGTTGGTTCAAGTTGGACACGCGTGTATATGCAAACCTTGACCCGTATTGCACGGTGCTCCAGGCCGAAATATATGCAATAGAGATCTGTCTGAGAATCAATTTAGAAAGAAGGTATAGAAACCGCACCATCTATGTGTTCTCGGACAGCAGGGCTGCACTGCTGGCGCTTCGTTCAGCTCAGGTTACATCCAAACTGGTCTAGGGCTGCCTTGCTGCACTTATGGAATTGGCATCAGAGAACAGAGTCACGCTCATTTGGGTGCCGGGCCATAGTGGCCATTCGGGCAACGAAATTGCCGATGAGCTGGCGCGGAAGTGTTTCTTTCGGCGTATTCCAGAGGATTCCCCGCAGAGTTGCAGAAAATTGGAACGACATAATATGGAATTAAAAAATTAATATGTATTAACGTATAGAAATCAATATAACTACTGTTTACTTTCAATATTCAATATTTTTTACTACGTATATGTCACAAATAACGAGCAATAAATACTTGGTTATACTTTAAAAATAAAAGCATACGTATTTTACTTTTTACTGCACAATCCAGGATTGAACTAATCCCGAAATGTCATCTTGCGGGAAAAATTTTACACTTATTGCTATTGTGAACTAATAACCCGTAGCATTTTATTTAGAAAATCTCATATCGCAGTCTATAAGAACCATCAATAATGCTAGCGACAACTTTTATATGCTCAACTATATCATTATCAGTAAGAAGATCAGGCCTGTAACCTTCCAATTCTTGTAAATGATGAAAAATAATTTACGTTTTTTAAGTAATAATTTAAGTATTTTAACTTATACTATGACCATAATTTACAATACGTACAGATACGGTTACAGTATCCGCGGTTAACATAAAAAATACAACATTTAAAATACTATTTGACCATAATTTTCAATATAATCATAAAACAAATTTAAAAATCCTTAAGAAAATAATTTCATTGAAAAATTTTTCAAAAAAGAAGTTCAATTTTACTTTATTAAACACACACGGACAGAAGAAAAAAGGAACTTTTCAAATGTTACCCTATATCCGAAATTGCAAACAAATTAAAATTTTTGCTTCATCAGTTTTTTTTTTTTTGACAAAATTTTATTTTATTTCATTACACTTTAGAGGTTTCAATTAAAAAAAAAAATCTAAGTTTCAATTTTCTTATGAGAAACTTTTTAATTAAACTTTCTTTTGAATTCATTTTGTGTCGCAACTCCATATGGTAGAAAAAATTTTCAATTTAAAATTTTATTCTTGAATTTTAATTAAAATTTTTTTTATATTTGTATTTATTTTATTTTAATTTTATATGTCCTTTTAAAAGGAATTATTGCTTACAAAAAGTACTTACGAAAACAACAGTCGCATTAAAATTCAATTAGAATTTTCAAGGGACCAGCTAATTGCATTATGGTATCTCAGATTTTAAATTATAGAAAATTGAAACATATTATTCATTTGCTAATCATTTTTCTCCTCCAATTTAATATCAAATGTTCTAGGTTCCATAATGAAAGCTGGGAAAATCGGGCTCTGCCCAGTGCAGATTTTGCGGGGGTGGTGATGAGACTTCCGTGCACGTACTTTGTGACTGTCCGGTACTAGCTGTCTGGCGGCGCAATTGTTTTAGACAGGGTTTCTTAAATGTTCGGGAACTGCTGTCTAACTCCCTTAGGGATATCTCCGGTTCCATACTTGGAACGGGGATATTGTAGGAGGGGCATGGGGAGGCTACAATAAGTCGCGAATGGCTGCGGTGGCCCGTGGGATACTCCTGCCCCACTCGGCTCCCTTAAAAAATCTACAAATCTAGTCTTACAGGAATGAAGTATCCTGTAAGACTGAATGGGAAAGAGGCAGGAGTTCCCCTGTTATACCATGTGATTTCATTATAAATTACAAATCCTTATAGGTACTTTCCATTCTTTGTAATTGTAAATGTACTCTTGAATGTATCAGACGTGATCCTGAAAACTGAATTTGTACTGATCATAGAATCCTTATTATTTTAAGCAAAAAAAATTTGAATTTTCAATTTATTCTAATCAAAAAAATTATTGAAATGTGAACAAAATATTTCATATTTTTTTTTTTCGTTTTAATTATACAATTTTCCTGTGATTCTATCTTAACAATTAATGTATATAGTGAAACAAGTGAACAGATGTGAAAGTTATTGAATTTGAAAATTTCATTTATTGATGGCTATGACTTAAACAAAATTTATCATTAGAACTACTTTCAATTGTTATTGGTTGCCGTATCAAAAAAAAACAAATTTTAATTAATAAATAAAAGTTTAAGTACTACCTCATGTTTTATTTCTCCTTCCAAAATAAAAACTTACTGGAGCAGTTGCTTACAATTTCAAACATTATAAACCCGGCTTAAAACTAGGAAGAAATAAATTCTTACCGAAATATACTTTTCAATCTCATACATTTCATTTAATTTTCAAATGAAAAGGTTTCAAGACTCAAAATTTTTTTCCTGTCAAAGATGCTATCGAATTCCG